CGTATACAAATGATTTAGACTAACCTGAATTATGTGATCCTTGATGGTAGTAGCTCCCAGGTTTCACTTCGGCCCGTTCCACATATTCTCGCTGGAGGTCGATGCACCGTTAACATCTCTCTGGCAATTTCCGTATTGCCTCACGAAACCATTGTTTGGGGGTGTCTCGTACAAACTCCCTGACAGCATCATGCAAGGCGTCACTATCGGGAAATCTGTGACCATCCAGGGGATCAGTTCCGACAATCTTTGAATCATTTGCGGAGTTCTTGATGTCCTGGGACGACCGCTGCTGCATCCGTTTTTCACTTTCGTTGTCACATGCGAATCCTGTCACCCAATTGAACACAGCTGCACATGCAGTCACTGGGGTTCACCGTGCTCCCACACCCGCCCTATTCCCCCGACCTAGCACCAAGTGACTATGCACTCTTCCACGAGATTAAGAATCCCCTGCGTGGTCACCGATTCCCCGATAGTGACGCCTTACATCATGCTGGCAGGGAGTGGGTACGAGTCACCCCAAACAATGGTTTCGTGAGGCAATACGGGAATTGCCAGAGAGAAAGCAACGGTGCATCGACCTCCAGCGAGAATATGTGGAACGGGCCGAAGTGTAAGCTGGGAGCCACCACCATCAAGGATCACATAATTCAGGTTAGTCTAAATCATTTGTATACGCCCCTCGTAGGTTCTGAGAGGCTACAAATTTTTAACTTGGATCTAGCAAACGACATAGTTTATAATTCATATTTTGTACGGATTTTAGTTATTTTAGTTTTTTATATGGTTTTGTATAGAGTATGATTTATTTTGTTATATTTTTGTAGTTCCATACATATTAAATAAACTGAAAAAAATTAAAATAAGTATAAATATTTTTTCAATGTTTTAACTTTTTTCTGTAAAAATTCGAAAACTTTTTTTTTAAAATACCGGAATTCTAAACCGGTTTTTTCAAAAGTCGGTTTTTGTATAAACCCTACAGAATACCACAATCGGCTTTTCACTACCCTGATAAATTCAAATCTCACAAACAAATACCTTATTGCACAGTTATTTTTTTTTATTTTGAGTTCCAGTGTAAGAACAGACCAGCCGTTTTTATGTATCAACGATGGTTATAATGAGGTTAGCATCTGTAAAGAAGTATGAATTTAGGACAACCGTATTTTGGATTTAATCCAGAACCATGTCTGGAGCTTTATAGCAGGTCACAATGGATGGGCGCATCATTCATGTAGTTTTTATTTTATAACTAGTCATGTGTGTCACGTTCATAACCCCCCTCCCCCCCAGGGATCGCCGTTACTGCATCGTGATTACCCGCATCAAATGTCACTGTGTAAAGCTAACAAACATTTATTTATTATAAACTTCGAAATATTTGAAAATAAGGATACTGCAGGGGTTTAAAACCATACATTCTGAAATACTGTTTATGTCATTAATGCGAATTACATCTACAGCGTCTACATAACATAACTTCTTCCTCAATATTTATGACAGGCCTAGTCTGTCCCCCTCCCCCTGCATCGATCTAATAATATTCCCTTGAAATATCCGACAAATTTCTTCCCATTGTCAAAAGCATGAGCACCGACTTCTTGGTAGGATCTCAGGTTTTCACGGCGGTGAGTTCGAATATGGCTGTCTTCTGAACTGTAGCGCCGTGTAGTCTGGTAGACGTTTACAGCCCTGAAGAAAGTCGTCTTCTAAAGACTTCTTTGTCTCAGTCCGCTACGTGCATCCCCAGTACCATTCAGAAGCAAGAACAGGTTTTAAAGAAAACAGCTAGCATTGTCATGAAATGTAAAAATTAAAGCTGTATTAAATATGTCCCCCCCCCCGGACATTTTCATATAGTTCTTGTTTTAACCCAACAATTTACAACACAGGAAAATAAACAAATTCAATCCCTCAAAAGATTGGAAGAAATCGTTTTAAAAAACTTCGTAAAAATGTTATTTCGTTTATTTCTTAACGATCAATAAACGAAAATATGTAACAATTTTCCGAGAAGGGAGAGACATCAGAACTTTAGTTCCTTTCCATTACTATTAAAAGTATTTTTTGCAAATGATATTCTATAATTCTTTTAAGTTATAATTTTCTAACTACTAGTCTTACTTCTGCAATAGTTATGTGATTCTAACTCGAAACCACACTATACAGAGACTGCTCTCCATCGTTGACATTTTTAAAATGTAATGTGTTTAACGCTTCCACAGGAAAGGTGTCATAACCCGCCATGACTCTCTCCATCATCTTTCGCTTATTTATCTTTCCTCTGCACGAACATTTTTATTTCAGCTCACTCTTATCATCTGTCAACACCAACAACTTTAACCTCAGCGGCTATAAAGTCCCCTCTTCTGTGTTACATCTCTCGCTATTTCTATTCCTTCATCACTGTTTATCTTTCTGAGTGTAATTATAGCTTTGACGCTTCATCTAAAATCCTTTCCACATCTCTCCCAAATCTGTTCTTTATTAATCACTTACTAAAGCGATCACTTCTTAAGATGATTCATGTACTAGTATTTTTAACAACTTAAACTTTCATTGGCTTGAAAACCAGGAAAATAAATTGTGTTCATTCTCCAATGAAGGTGTCCATAAAACCCACACGAAACTACATGGTAGTTCAAATTAAAAACATCAACCAACTCCACGAACAATGTTTATGTCCCAAATTAAACAGGGATCTCGTAAAACTCCTTATTTATATGCAATTTTAAGTACAAAGAACTTATTTCCATAAATAAGTTATAAAAATATCCAGCACAGCATAATTTCTATTCTGATCAAATTGGTATATAATTCAAAACCAAATAAAGTTCAGGAGAAAGAAGAGTCTATAGCAATATGCCACGTAATATTTCTTACCTTTTTGCTGGAACGTTTGTGGTAGCGGACAGGATGCAGCATGCACATGTACCGATCTACCGCCATGCAGATCAAAATAACTGCGCTCTGCTGACTGAGGGCTCCTCGCAGCAAGGACTGAAACATAACAACCGTCACTGAAGACAAATACGGAATGGTAAAAACAACGCAAGTGCGTATAATTCGCGCCAAATACATCTGCCGCGACGAAGAACACGGTTCCCACTGTTCCACCAACAGAGTTGCTACATCGTCACTCTACTCTTAGTCGCGGTGCTGTTAACACGACGTATCAGTCCAGATGCCAGAGAGATGTTTCGTCTTATGTCATGCCAACACTTCTCTGTGGCACCCACTGCCCACTCCAAAGAGACCTCTAGGAAGTTCGACTGCCAACCAAACACGTATTTGCCAGCTCCAAACAGACCTCTAGGAAGTTCGACTGCCAAGCAAGGTTTCTGTAGTACTATAAAAATACAACATACCTGCCCTAAGTTTAGAAATATGGGAAGGAGCAATTTTTTAATTTCCTTAACAGACTGGAAAAATGTACTCTTTTGAGTCCACTGTTATTCAAACGGCGTTCGTCACACGTCATATAGGCTGTTGTTGCACTTGTTACCAGAGATCATTGTTGCCTCTTAGGTTATTCTTGCAATAATAAAATCCCAGATCATTGTTTCATAACAACATATCCCTACAACAGGATCTCCAGTCCCACTGTAGCGCAACTGTTTCCAACAAAGAAAACTGCTGGATTTCATTGTTGCACAATAATTCCAACATGGAAGAGGAGAATTGAGGAGGCCATGGACCGAATACGGACCGGAGAGACATAGAAGAAGAAGAAGATCTGTAATTACGATACAATTGTTACGAAATACACGACAGACAGACATGGATGGGATCATTAGATGTTCTTCGCTTAATTGACACAGAATACGAAGACCTTGCATACAGCGACAAATACAGTAACGTTTTTCGGTACATAAGAAGTATTCCCAAAAATCAAACAATGCATGGCTTATTCATGCAAGTAACACGCCTTTTACAGAACGTAAAACTTCACACTGCAAAATGCTGCAAAAGATGGCAGAAGACAATGATGTTAGGAGTTCGCTGCTATAATTTGTATAACTGTGGTTAGCAAATAGTTCAGTTACAACATGTCAGTGTAATTAGGCCAGGCACAAATAACAGCTAATTGTAGTTAATGTGTTAATTAGTGTTGCTCTGTCTGACACTAAAACTTTATGACTGAAACAGATTTCCCTACTGGCGATCGAGTGCTGGAAAGTCTCAAAGGCCTTGCACTTCTAGTTAAATAGTGCAGTTCTAAAGTGGTTCTGGTTTATGTAGGAACCATTTTCTCGGAACTAGAAGACAGTAAATGCAAGCAGCTGACGACTTCTGCAAGACATAATAACGCAACAGATAAAGGCCAGAGCCCCTGCTCATATTACGAGAATGTTTGGAACTAATATTCCTGTTAGACCAAGACATTGTAAGGAACAATGAAATTACACCAAAATTGTGTCAAGTCACAGACTTACAGGACTGCCTAAAACTCGATACACAAATATTCGAAACAACATTAAGACATTCCGCGTAAATCACTATACGGTGTACCCTGCAGATTCGCGTTCTTAGTTTACTCTTAACTCGGAGTTCTAACCTCGATCGGAGCGTGAATATTTATTTTGCATTGCCCTGTAACATTACAGACCTTAGTAATTCTCTGTAGAAATGGAGCATATTCTTTCTTGAGAATCTAACATTGTGACAACTAGCCAATAAATTGCCGTCTTTTACAGGCCTGCAGGTTCATTACCGTGTCTACAAAACCCAGCCTCCGATCACTATCCCGAACCAGATAAATCCAATTCACACGTCTAAAATCCTATTTCCCTAAAATCAATTTTAATTTTAAAATTATCATAACACGTACATGGTTTTAGCAACCTCCATTTCAGCTGTTACGTAACATATAAAGAGCAAACCACCGCTCCCTCGGGGAGGGAGTCCGGTTGTTACCGGGGATCAAGGTTTAGTGCCGACATTCCAAATACAGGCAGCTTCGGTAAATTAACCTAACAGTGGGGTGAAGTCACTGAGTCGAATATGGAAACATTACCCAGAATGACCTGCAAACATTAACAGGTAATATTCAAACCACGGCAAACCAGTTACAGATCACAGTTCTTTTTTTATAGGATATTGCACTCTTTGGGTAACTAACATACAGTACGCAAACACACTTTGCTTTGCAGTAAGGAAGTAAAACGCTATAGAGATACAGCCGCTTATTGTATAATCACAGTTATCTGCGTTTCTCCGGCATTGGGAAAAGGGCAGTGACAAGTGTTCGTAAGAGGAAAGACGTGTGTACCTATGACGAACAATATAAAGGAGCAAACTAGCAAAATGTCTTCAGTTATTTATCCATTAATGGGATAAAATTGTCATTCGGTGCTGTGTTGGAGATATTCTGCGCGACAGAACCAGTTTCAATCTACCGCCATCTCTTGTTAACACTCATATTCGTGCTTGACGACGTGTGGCGCTGTAACGGGGTTTGGCTGTTTAAGTAGCAGATTATACATATGCAGAACAGAATGCAGAATTCCCGTGTTGCAAACCTCGCACCGAGGATGACTCATCCCAGCAGCCCTGCCTCTGGCCGTATCATAAGTTACGGCCCTAGTTTTTGAAATGGCAGAAAGCCAGGGTGGTATGTGGTCTGTGGCAGACAGGGAGGGAAGTCCGATAAGAAAAGGCTGTTCCTCCTTCCCGTACCTCGCTGCCAGGGTGGATCAAGACCTCATCAGTCTTCGCGAATTTTCTGAAAATGCTTAAATGTTCCTTTGGTGATTACCACACATTTCACCATCTGTAAATAGCTGCGTCAGAGAAAATCTAATAACACTCGGGACATGTAGCACGCATAAAATAAATATGAAGTAGGCCCACACTTTTCGTCTGGAAATCTAAATAGAACAGACCATCTGGGAGACGTAGGAGTTGATAAAAATATAATATTAAAGTGGATCTTATATAAACATTGGATCAAACCGACTCGTGATATTATAAATTTCAGGGTCCTGCGAAGCCTTCGAAATCTATGCAAGTCTAGGAATGCACTGATTGAGTGAATATCAGCTTCTCAAAGACTCCGCTTCCCAGACATACAGAAATCGTTCGTCAGCGGAAAACGTTAATATTTCAAGGAGCTCAAAAACTTTCATGTTAGTCACTTATTTTATGATATAAATAAAATTCGGAATCTCAATTTACATTACTTTAAAATAAAGTCAAACGGAAAGAGCATAAGAAACAGACTTTTTGCTTCTTGAAACACACAGAGACCATATTTTGTGTTCCGGTTGGAAGAGAAAAGCCCTTCATTTTATTAACCACGTGGGAAACGAGACACTGGCAGCCCGCGGAATAAAACGAGGGACCAAACAGTTTACCCTCGGAAAGTGTCGTCGTCCCGTGCCATGGGATGAAGAAGCTGGGATATGCAGATGTCAGACTATGCAAAGTTGTGGGCAATGCACACTTAAGACACGAGATCGGCCATAGCAAACGCTTATGCATGCCACCAAGTAAATGCTCGTAAATCTATAAATGACTTTAAAACCCTCGCCACTTTCGGTACGCGAATGTCGGAGAGCAAATACGGGTATAAATCCTAAGAAAACATGTAAAGGGAGGCGCTGAAAGTTTATTTCCGCTTTTCCAGCACCACAAGATAAAGAAAAACAAAAACTAAACTACGTAAGCACTCCAAAGAAAGAAAAACTAAAACTTTCCAGTAAATTTGTATATTACGTTTATTTTTACACTCTGTCTATTCTTTGCTTCCTTTCACTGAGACAGAGTTACAGTAAAACTTGTTACTGTCTATTCTTTGCCTCCTTTCACTAGACAGAGTTACAGTAAAACTTGTTACTTCTCCATCTTTAAAAAAGCACGATTCTTTGTGTCTGTCTTATAAAGCGGACTACAAGTAAAGGCACCAACATCTTTCCGTTGTCCTGAGTTCGAGATTTCAGCTTCACAGTGCCGTGTGGTAGCCTTCAAGATGGTTTCGTAAGAAGAACAGAACTAACCGGAAACAGAATTATATACCGCCAACTTCATGTTAAAAGGGCTTATATGTCGTTCCAGAGAAAACCTCTGAAAAGGAAGTTGTGAAATCCGAAAACTGAAGCAACATAAGACAGCACTCTGCAAATCTATACTCATTTAGTATTATAAATGTCATTAAATCAAGAAGGATATAACTAAGCAACTCTCGTATAAATTAGGTCTTCGCCATGTAGGTGATAGTTAACAGGCTGACAAAGAAGTAACTTCGCATTGGCTTTGGTATTCTGATCTGTAACGCCACACGGCACACATTTCCATCTCTTTCACGCGTGCTACATGCCCACTCCATCTCATTACCCTTTATCTTATAGTCCTAATAATATTTAGTAAAGTATAAACATTATTTATCTCATAATTACACAGATTTCTCTAGGACCATGTTATTTCGTTTTCCTTGGACTCAAATATTCTTCCAGGCTCTTCTTTTTAAACAATTCAAACCTTTGTTCCTCACTCATGACGACAGCCCTGTAGCTGCTGATAGTTCTGCTAATAATGAAACGACCGGTACTTTCTTTCAAAATCCCTACCAATTCACAAATCATTTGTCATCTTCCAGTTTCGTTATACGCTAAATAACCTCTGCAATTTTGAGAAAGTAGTTAAATAACCATCAAACAGTTCATAAAGAGTAGTAAAATAAATTGCAAACAAACACTTTTTCGAGCTTCGCACGTGATTTATATCCGCTGATGATGAGAAGAGCCAGTACCTTTATCTTCTACCTCAAAGCAAATCCAATCAATTCGCCGCAATTTCCTGGCCACCAAATTACAGAGTTAATAAAACGCAATCAACAATTACATCAAACGCGTCGTCCCTGTCTCTTCTTATCTGTATTAGAACAAGTGACAATATCGTTTCCATTACAATATTGATGAGCACATTCTTTGTGGGGGGATAAAAATCAGGGAAAATTGGTCGACAGTCAGTCATAGAGAAAGCCATGCCATCATAAATAACTAATTAAAAAAGGAAGGAGTAAGGAGGAGGATTAATTAAACAAGTTGTAATTTTCTCTTGCGATACAGTACACAACATTAAAAAAGTCAGCAGACGTGTTATAGAAAGCATTAACAAAATAACTATGTCACCATGTACAGGGAACATATTTTAACAAAATTGGTTTGAAGTAAATATCCCTGTTTTTAATGAGAACTATGCAAGACCCATAAACACAGTTACTGATTGTTAAAACAAGTGGTACACATAATTACCACTAGGCTTTAAAGACTAATCCCCAAGCGCATATTGGAATATTGACGAGTTTGAGACGTCACCGAAACTAACCTAATTTCATGGAACGGCGTCTTTTAAGCTGTAACGGGTCGCCGATAACAGGTGGTCCTCGAGGTGTATTGGTCCGAGAAACACCGAAAAAAGTTACCGCGTTACGAAATACTGCACAAGGCCTCGGACTTCATCTCTGAACAACTGGTAATAATCCTATATCTATGATAAGTATCTGGCATTCATTTCAAAAAAGTTTTCATTAACTTTATATATGAATTCGGTTTCATGTGACGGTATCCACGATATGTGTCTTCATAATTGAAGATGGAAACAGTATAGTTCTCCGAAACACCGTCATCGACCAATGAGTTTAAACGGTGTCAAAACCCAGAAAAACATCAACCTCAAGCCATTCTTTTTATTTTGGTGTGAGAAAGTTTTACATCCTAACAAAATAACAGACAAACTAGTTTTGTATATTTCAATCTATTAATTTCTTGTTAACAGGCAGAAAGGCAAAATATTCTGAACTGAATGGCAGCAAGAATTCACAGAATTCAATTTGCTCGTAATTATCAGTGAATGGATAATTGATTCGTTACTGTCCATCCACATTCAAGTAAGCGTCTCCTACAGTTTTGTGATACGGATAAATAGCTAAATTAAAACTGATATCGCACAGATTTTCTATTATTAACTGCAGTGGCGCCGCATGACGATAAGATTCACAAACACAAAATAGTTTAATGCGTTGAATTGCATATGACTGCCTAACAAAGGAATTAATCTATTTATTGCAATATACCGTATACGGTCTCCTAGTATTGACGCAGAGAGGATATAAGTAAAATGTGGAAGGCTGAAGAATTTACAACATATAAACTGAACTACCAGCCAAAAGCAGGGAAAAACCGAAGCACTCGATGAAAAAAACCTATTTCAATGCAATTTCGTTCACCACGCTTCTTACTTGAAGTCCACCGGGACTGAACCAGGGTCTCCACCGTGAGAAACCGGCGTCTAGTCACCTGAGCTCTGACACCGTCCACTTTACAATCAGAATATTAAACGGATTCGTATTGACTGTGGCTTGTGGGGGCGTGTAACTACGTATCACAGTGCTTGAAGTAAACGAACGACCAAACATTTAGAATTAATTACACAGACAAGAGTTCTAAAACGCTGAATGTTATCACATTAATTAAAAAACTACAAATTTCGTGAACCAGGATACGGGCAATCGTTACGATGTGGCCACAGATCTTACAGAAAAAAAAATTGGCTTACATCAAAAATTCGTAATCTTCGATATCACCACGTCTTACAGGAAAAAAAAATTGGCTTACATAAAAAATTCGTAATCTTCGATATCACCACGGTTTAAGGCCATTTAGCTGTGCTGTCTTCAGGATTAAGGACGGTCCTTGGATCTTCCTGCTTTTGTTTTTCCCTGTTTTACCATGTCACATGCGAGTCCTCTCTTAGTATTAGACGCGCATGATCTTGATTTATTTGGTATTTAAGGACATTAGTGAAAGAAATATGTCCTGCCACCTCTTAGTAGAGAGAAACCAAACTTTTCATACGCTTTAATCAGCAGAAATTATACGTTGCTCAGAAAATATACTGTATTAACAAAATGGTCCATTAGAAGTTGTAAACCAGCTTGAAAAGGACAAAACGAAAAGTAGTAACAACTTGCACCACAGGATCTAGAAGGTGCTGAAATTCTGATTCCTTTCACAACTTACTAAATAAAAATAAGTTATTAGAAAAGTACTACATTTAGTATAAAAGTTTCTCATTCGGATGGCATGGTTATAGCCATAAAAACTCCAGAAGTCTGCTAACCGATATATCCACGTGACAGCGCCATTTATTCTGTGTGAGCGGCCAGCTTGCTATACGTATGACGCTCCATGTCCAAATTACTCTGCCGATGATATTCAAATACACGAGCGGTTTCCTTTACGTAATGTTTTCCCGCAATGCCCGGGAAGGGCAAATGACATACAGATGCTAAGAAGCGGTTTCCTTTACGTATTGTTTTCCCGCAAAGCCCAAGAAGGGCAAATGACATACAGATGCTAAGAAAACAAATACAAGTAGCCAGGGGTGAACAAATAACAACTTCGCTATGTAATTATAAGTCGATGTTGGCATTCTGGGATGTAACGCCATGACTTGCGGACAGATACCGACATTTCGAAGGACCTTATAGCCAACAGGTCCACAAGCCGTTACAACCCATAAGGCATCTTCACCACCATAACCTCAAATCTCACAAACAAAGACCTGTTGAAAGAGGCAGATTTGGTAAAAACAAAGGGTGTGGATGAGAGAGATCCAATTACTACTCACCTGAATCTGGCAGAAAATCTCGCCGTAAGGCCAACAGTGATAGAGAGCCGGCAAGAACCCAAATGGCGTCACAAACAGACCAATCGCGAGGTCGTTGCTGGCTAGTGACGTAAGCAAGTACCGGGGCTGAGAAATGAAAGGGTAGAACATTAATTACCTTTTCCTCTTTGTAGGCAATTATTTCAGCAGATACGTGATGATATTAACTAAGCATCCAGTTTAATTCTATTTTAAGCATGCTTCTTTGTGTCCTAAACATATATAGCTTAATATGAATAAATTAACAAAAACTGCATTTTAGAATCATCTGTGTGTGTTAACCTCCTTAGCACCAGTTTCTGAACAGTTGAAAAGACCTTTGAACGAAATGGTATCACTATTGACATGACTTGAATTTATTTCTTTTTAATTTTTACGAATTTAACATTCATATTTTTTTCCTTCAGTTGGTGTCATTTGTCGTTCTGCCTATAGAAGGCAGATATCACCCTGTAATTTCACAATATTTTAACCGGCAGTTTCTATTACCGTTACCCAACAAAACATCTGCAGTCAGGCTGTGCAACAGTCAAGTCATCCCTATTCTTCCAACTATATTAAAACAAATGTTAATTTTAAAGTTATCAACCAATCTGACTGCTTAGTGTAAAGGTATTCGGACGGAACCCCATTCAGATCTCGCGATCATCATCTAGCACATTTCGACACAATGGCGTCTGTAACCTGTGCAGTTGGAGTTCATTATTAAAAACAACCTAAGCATCCAACAGTGACAGTGGAGGCACTCACCTGCGAATGAATGTACTTCGAGTATCTACGGCTGTTGATAACGAGGACCAGTAGGAGATTTGCGCCCAAAATTCCTGCAGACAGGAGCAGGATGAAAAGTGCTTGGGTCATATCCCACACGGTGATGGTGTTGACGTGACTTGCCGACAGGTAGCGCGGGTGAGAGCAGCTACTGTTATGAAGAGGTGGGGGTGTCAACCACGTGGACTTCTGTTCCATCTTCATAACTCGAACTCATAAAACCGGCTTCAATGTTCGATCATGGATTCCAATCACTAAACTGCATGATGATAAAATTCATCTACTAAACGCTTTTTAGCATAAAAGTATATCACTTTCTCTACTACTGCTTCTTCGAAAGAAGTCTTGTTATTTAATAAATAACCTTGGTGTAAGACGAAGCATTATTTTTCATCTTTACAGTTCATAATAATTCTTAATCAAAGTTCATGCATTCGTCCAAGTACGGCATTTTGTTTTCAAATGCAAGTCACACAAGAGTTGTTATCCTTTATCGTACCTCAGAATATTAATTATATAAGTACACTAATTCAACCTATACAATAACACTTGCTGGTTTCTATCATCTGTTTCATCCGTGAAAATAACACTTGATTTCGTAGCAAATTCCGTTGAAATATGTTTCATCCTAATGGTGTTTAAGTATTTCATAACCATGATCACAGTAACAAATAAACTATCCACAGGTGAAACTGGTGTTTGGTTACTTCTCTTCGTGTTGTAAAAGCTACTGAGATGATCTGTATACAAGTCGAGTCACATTGCAAGTATTTTCTGAAAATAAAACAACACTGAAATCAGGAATAAAAGTGCATATTTATAAATACAGAGCAGAGGAAGCTTTAAAAGCTTCACATCTTATAGTCTATTAACCTCATAAGGACTACACATCATTTATTTAATTATGCAGTAAATTTACGAGTCGTAATCTAAAGAATAGTTTGCAAATTCTACACTTCTACTGAATGAATTAGCATATAACACAGTGCACTAGAATTATATTAGTGTAACAGAAAATGTCAAAATCCGTGGTCATGGTGGGTTGTGTACATTACAGAACATGTATCGAGCCATGCAATATATAATTTCAATTATTATCACTGTGACACGTCATAAACAGTCACAATGGACTTGAAAGGAAACTCATTTCTTGCCAAACGTATGCTTTTCTTAGTGAATTCCATTAAGAGACCACGTGGCCAGGAAGTAAGCAAGTAGACAGACGGTTATACACAAGTTGCAGGTCTTGTTCCTCCCAATGGGCGACAGCTGTATCTCGATCTATCTCGAAATTCGAAGGTCGCAGAGTGAAAATTGGATTAGAATTCACTCACATCTACAGTTCCATCAGAACAATCGACAAGATTATTTGTCACTCTCTTCTGTCTCCCATTATCTATTCTGCTTTTGTGTGCTGTCCTTTGTCATTCTCGTCTGCTTTCGTCATCATTCTCCTGTCTCACTACACTCGAATGCGTTATTAATGATTTTTTCTCGTCTTTCTTCGTATAAAATTCTTTCTTGATTTCGTTTCATTATTCAAAGAAATTGCTTTGTATTGTGTTCCCTTCACAGTTTCTCATTGTTTCGTGACGTTCCAATGAATGATTACCCGACATTTTATATTCAATCTTAAGCTTTCAATACGTATTCATATAGAAACAAAAGACTGGTGCGGTAATTAAAGAATACTAAATATGATTTATTAATTAAGATTTCTGCTCGCATTCATCTCGCACATGATAAAATAACCGAATCACCTTTATATATTTTAAACAGTAAGCAACATGGGTTAGGTTGTATTCTTCAGGTATCAAGAATTAAGCCCTGTGGCCTCTTCTAATTCAGAATTAATTATTAAACAATAAATATGTTACGAGGGATCGGACAATCGCAGGGTCTTAAGATGGAGTCGGTAAGCACCTTCAAAACGTTGGTAAATTTCTACCAGATTACACAATACGACGCAGAAAAAAAGTCGGTTTTGTACTCGACGTATTGAGAATCTTAATTCCTTTCTCTCGGGGTACAAATATTTTCCATAGGACTTTATTCCTGTATTCTTAAACACCCTCAAAACATGTTTTATGTTTTGTGTGACACATTAGGTCTCATATTGAAACTCGTCAGCGTAATCTCATTTCGAGCCGCATTATGCCTACTTGTAATGGCTGAGGTAACCACCACATCCCCACGTGGGGATAACATACACCAGACACCTCACACCAGAGACTTGCCGTGCGAAGTTTGAACTCTGGGCGAAGTACCACTCGTCAAGATCTCGTTACCATAATCTTATTTCACATTGTGGCACAACAATGCAGTCTTCCCGAACTCAATGGCTTCTTAATGGAGTGTCCATGTAGGGCGTGTGCTTCAAAGGAATCGATTTCACTCTAGGTGACATGAGAACGTCTGGACACCAAATAAAATATACAGGCAAACGGATGAACAAGTATCACTACAACATACAATGCAAAATGAAAATGCTCCTTTACTAGGGTTCCGAAGGAAGATATCCTGATAAGCTGCATGTGTCTGTCCCCTCAGTCATGTGCTTAAACACGCCTATTATAGGCCCCAATTGACCAATATTCGTCAAACTCGGAATATTCATCACGCCAGTTAAAATCCATTTTTCGAATTTTAAACTCCCTATCATAAATACTAGCATGACAGCAGTGGAAATTATAAGGACCAAACAAAAGTAATGTCCTTTAGTGCTGAGTATTGAAATTCTGTATGGTTATAAAACTGTGAAACATATTAAGTCTTACGATGGGATAATTTTAGAAAGTTGGCAAAACATATGAGGGAAAAAATGTTATATTAAGTGTTAGAAATGTATACCGCGTTCAGCAATGCATGTATTCACACTTTTCCTGATGTTTGATGCAATCCGGTGAAGATATTCTGCAAGTCAAAATCTATGGAACGGTAGAATCAGAAAATGCATCATTAATATCATTCTGGCACGTAAAGTTAGTAAGAGTAGTTCGACGACGAACATTTGTTGCGGTTGTGAAAAAGACATCCTTCCACTTGGACTGTTGAAGGACAACTGACGCGCTGGAGCGAGCAGGTTTCAACATGGCGTGACCTGTTAAAAACTCAATCGAATTGATAGCGTTACTTTCCGATTATCCTCTATTTAGGTAGCGGACGGATGCCATGCGTAATCGAAACGAACCTTTCAATTAGGCCCGAAGGATGCGTTTGTCAATTACTTTGTTGAAAACAGAAGAACATCTTTTTACTGCAACTACCTGGTGGTGTGACGCGCTTGTTACCGGCTGTTGGACACCCCTGACATAGTGGCTTAAGCTTGGACAAGAGGAGAGACTGGTCAGACTGAAGAAGCAAGAGCGGAAGCCATATTTAAAGTCAACTGGGTGTACCATAAAATAGGCAACCTGTAGAGTAGCGCGCTGAATAGAAAACGGGGCATGAAGATAAGTGCTCATAGCCCTGAAGATTAAGGCAGCAAGCACCTCTGAAACATCGGTAAATTTTTACCACACTACACGGTGAGACATCCCAGAAGTCACAGTCTGTGGTGTTCGCAGAAAAAAATTGTATTCAATTAATCCTTTCTAGAATAAGTTTCGGAGTGGAATGGCAGAGCGGAAACCAAACAAAAGACAATGCCAATTCCAACATTTAAACCGACGTCTGTGTAGAAGCTGGCTTCGAGGATTGTCATGCCCTATGTTGAAACGATTAAGATGACTATATAATGGAAGAGACGTGCTCGTCTACATATGGAAACTGAAGAAGTAAAATTAAACTTAAATCCTACACTATAGACTCTACAATTTACAGAAGTGAGTTTAAGAGCACAGGGCACCATTCAAACACAGAATTCACATCATCCTGGAAAGACAATGGCAAAAGTGGTTATTCGCCGGCAACTCACAGCCGAGGCCCGGATTCGCGCCAAGGGCAACAATCCGTCTACGATTTGCGGTTTTATGCGAGTCCTGTGTTCTCCTGATAATATAATTCCATCGTTGCTCTGCGCTCACTTACTTATCACCTGGCGGACGGACAATGGGATCGTTAGTGACAGTTGTTCCATAGAGACATAGTCTCGCTCCATTTCAACAGCAAAGAAAAAGGACACTAGTGAATGGTATAGCAAAAACGCCACTGAACTTTAAATGCCACATAGTTTCCAAGTCACACACAGAACGTCACTAAAATCGTATTATTGCATAGTTTTAAACAGTAGCTGTTGTCACATATCATCATGCTTGGAATTCTGAAGTCTGCATGCGGTTTTTCTCTCTTGAGACGAAGTTCCAAGTATGCAGACACCCTCCAGACAGGGAGGGATATGCAAGTAAGTTAATGGCCTCAGCACACACGTGACTAAATTATGAAGTTTAGAGTCATGAGTTGGCACTTAAAAAATCGAAACTCGGAGAAATTCCACAAGCACTGAAATAGCTGCCAAATTATTATCTCATAGATATAACGCAAGAGAGAAAACGAATAACAAGTGTCTTTTCTCCAGTATATTTCAGAAAATTTGTATATCCATAGCATTAGAGCAGGACTTGAAGGCGACTCGTATTTCCTAAGCCTTAAGTCGAGGAGAAAAGTGAACAAAATTAAAAACGTTCATTATAAACCGTCTCTTGCAAAATTAGATTTCTCAACTTCTGTATCTGTAACTCTTCACCACAGATTAAGGTATCTTTAAAGTATCCAAGTGTGGAACTAATCTCTCAACCCATTTCTGACTAAGGTGATATAAGTATTTAAATTTTCAGATGACTCTTGTTATATACAATTTTGATTTCCGCGGCCAAATTTTAAAAGCCTATTTGCTGATAAACCATTTTGGGTCTTGTGGGATAAAACTTATGATGCGTATTACGTATTACTATAACATCGATATAAGAACATATTTGAGATTTCACTACATTAAATTTTATTATATTCTTCAATTAAGCAAATATAAATAATAATTTTAATTTTTATATGCTGCTTTGTTACACTTTAAATAAATACAAGTTCCTAAAAGTATTACTACTTTTGATTTCCCCGTCATTTTTAACGGGCAATTTTCTATCTTATACCACTGTTTGTTGTAGTAACAGCGGAATCTGCGTAGGCATAAACTAGATTTCAGCACGCAATGTTTTATGATTAACGTCGTCATTAAGGCTTTTCGGAATAGCTGGAGGGTTTAAGAATGCTAAGAAGCAAAGAACACTGAAAACTATTAGTACTCCAGGATGGATTGATCCCATCCCATCTTCTTTTGTGTGTGTGTGTGTGTGTGTGTGTCGGATTACAAGCTTGTTGTAATAGTACGCCATTTGTTATTGAACTGTGGAATTGATGGCCAATAAATAATGGCGAGCCCTCTCCAGGGGAGCAGCTTGTGTAAAACTGGCTCGAGTTGATCGTATTGAGTTGCTTTACATAAAATGAAATAACATTTTCAGTATACACAGTCAACAAGACTAATTTAGTTTGTTCAGAATTCAATACAAATGGAGCAATTGCTAATCGCTTGTTCTGTGATTTAATTCATATTACGAATTTCCTGCATGAATAATAGAACTTTTACATGAATGTATCAGTGTCGTGGTTTGTTTTATGGGTTTTCAATTACTTGTTTAACAAATTATGAAATCTAACTTAACATATTTTAATGTTGTTTGTGTAATTACAGTATCTCAACAGATTTTTATAAAATAATTGTAGGTGTCAACCATAATGTAATTCTTGACTTTCGGCTTCAAGTAATGTCATATAATTTG